CCCCCCCTTTCTCTGGGTGGGGGGGGGGGGGGGGGGGGGGGAGAGAGGCCACCTCCCTGAAATGAGGACAGCTCCCTGATATGACTTTTTTCAGGTGGGGATGCCTGCCATTGGTTGTATTGCTATTACACTGCTGATGTTATAAATAGAAAGTGTATTTGATTGTCCTAATAACTACAACCCAGAAGTTGTATCCTTACATGCTGAAAGGCCCTGCATATGAGTCTGTGAAATGCATGTTATGCGTTCCCTGGATTTGAGCATCATCTTCTTTCTAACCTCGCTACATTTTCACACACAGTGGCGTCACAAGGGGGGTGCGGCCCGCACCCGGGTGACACGATTGGAGGGGTGACACCAAAATGACTGGAAGTCATTTTGGTGTCACCCTCCTCTGAAAAGTCGAGTGCTCGGTCATGGACCGAACGCCCGACAGGACATTTTGGCCGTATTGTACATGTGCAGTGGTGTGTAGTAAAACGCAGCAGCAGACATAATGTTAACAATTTAAAAAAAAATGTTTTTGCATATATCTACTGCTTGCTAGCAAAAAAAGAGTTTAATTCTACTTTAAGGATTACAGAGCTGCATTCTTTTGTGTCTTTTATATCTGCCTAGAGTTCCACTTTAAGAGCTATGTAGGTTATGCGCCCCAGAGGTGTCCCCAGGGTGCTGGGACGTCATTACCCACACGTGACATCGTTATGCACATGCGTGACATCATCATGCACGTGCATAATGACACTTAACTGCCAGCAGCCATCTTGGTGATGTACGGCGGAAAAGAGAGTAGGGAGCTGTTCATCCGGCAGGATAAGGCATTCCGCTGGATCACCTCCTCAATTGTGCAGCTGTCGGGCTCTCGGTCAATGGCCGAGTGCCTGACTTTTCAGAGGGGGTGACACCAAAATAACTGTCAGTAATTTTTGTGTCAACCCCTCTGATGGTGTCACTCGATGCGAGCCGCACCCCCCTTGTGACATCACTGATTCTACCTCAAGCAGGGGTACAGACACAAGTCTCAATGGCTATACAAGGAAGTTTGTACAATACGTCCACAAGTATGAAAGCTGAACTTGTGGTAATATTTTTTGCAGCCCACAACCAGCAAGTTGTAAAAATTTCATTAAGAAGCTGCCGGAACAAAAGAAAAACTACTTTCCTCGAATCCTAGAAGAGGTAATTTTATTACACACACAGGGAACCCTCCCTTTGACGTGCGCAGAACCTTGTGAGGAATACAATGTGACTGTACGAGAAGAATGGCGCCGATTTTATGAATGACGGCTGCGGCGCTGCAACTGGGAGGAAGGTTTTTGAAAGGCGCGCTGTGATTGGTAGGCGGGCCACGTGATGCTGTGCCTGTGTGTGTGTACACACACGCTGCTTCCTGGTATATTGGGGCGGCTATAGCTGTATGGACGAGGCTCACCTGATGTGTGATGTACAATGCAGTGTACAGTGCTGAGCCAGTGCCCGCTGCTGCTGCCTCAGGATGTGCACGGCAGGGTGTATGATGGATTCCTCAGTGCCCAGGTACTTTTCTCAGACACTTTAGAAGTAGGCAGGGTGTACATTGTTTCATGTGACTTCTCTGTGACATATGAAATGGAGGTCTGTACACAGCTCCATAACTTGTCAGCTTTCGGTAAACACAGAAATTAAAGTCTATATCGAGGTGATTTCTAAATGTTAGTCAAAGTGGCAGGAAACGCTTTAGAGCCCTTTGTGTTGGTTTAGCAAAAATGCAGCAAAAACGTATGGCACTTGCGGTGTTATTACTTGTTAATGGCACCCTGAATGCAGTGGGGAAACCCGCAGGAAAAAAATGTGGGACACCTGTAGCAGGATTGGCTACATGAGCTACATTCGTTACGTTTGTAAAAAATCAATGGGCGGCATGCAGTAAATGTGGGAACAAGTGAACGTGACGTGATGCACACCTCCAGTACGCCTAGGTGTGAACGAGGACTAAAAATTACTAGAGCTGCAGCTAATGATTATTTTCAAAAACGATTGAGTTCGATTAATCGAATAAAAAATAAAATACATTTAAAAAAAATGGCTCCAGTGATGGACTACTAGTTTTTATTGAGATTGTAGTCCATCACAGGAGCAAGTATGGAGCGGTGGAAATAAAAAAAAAGAAAACCAAAAGTGTGGTGTGCAATATAGTGAAATGATCAGGCCTGTCTATCGGCGGCTGTCATCCCCCCCACACCTGCTCCTCCTTACTTCTCCCCGCGTCCCTGTGCTGATTGTGGATGTGGTCGGGTTGTGAGCGTGAGGCGGGGAAGAGGTGCGGCGTGGATGCTGTCGGGCAGGTCTGGCAGCGGCAAGCGTGAGGTGGGGAGGAAGTGCGGCACACAGTGTGTGTGGAGACGTGAACAGGGCCAACTAATCGGAATCCAATTCATCGATGATTAAAAAAGTTGGCAACTTTTTCGATCATCGATTATAGTCGATTAGTTGTTGCAGCCCTAAAAATTACAGTAAGGGCTAGTTCACTCCATCCTGTGCAAGGGCTAGTTCACTCCATCCACGTGCATCACGCGTTCCCGTGCAGCGATCGGCTGCACGGGAACGCGTGATACATCAGTGCCTGCGTTCCGGTCCAGTGCAGTCAGCAAAAATGCTACGTGTAGTACTTTTTCTGACTAGACCGGAACGCAGGCCCTAATGTACCTTCGTTCCCATGCAGCTGACAGCGTTGCGGCCAGAGGTGTGTGACAAACACTTACAGGGTTAGTCACAAAAGGGTGAAGAGTGTGGAGAAGGCAGGAGAAGTGAACAATTTAGGACAACATAGCTCAACTGGAAAGTGAGCTGAATTGGAGAATTTTCCCAAATCAGCTATGGCGTCCTAGAATGTTCACTTCTCCTGCCTTCTCCAAACTCTTCACCCTTTTGTGAATAACCCTGTTACTCTTCCAACTATGAGGACCTGCACCATAGATGAGGCACATAAACAGACACCACATCCCTGATAGACCGTAGAAGGATAGATCAAAACATGTGACTGTTCAGGTGTCCAAGGGTCTATGCAGCCGCCAGAATCGCTTCTGCTGTAAAGCCGACAGTCGTTTAAACGGGCCCGACGTCAGGGATGTACACTGTACGTCACTGGTCATGAAGGGGTTACATTTCTAAACTGAAGCGGCTGCTGTAAAGTCCCCTGAGCTCAGAGGAAGTGACTCGAGTGGTGCTGGTCATCAGGGTGAGGACATCTAGCAGGAGAGAAAAAGTGCTGGGTGGAAAGACCTTGTGTTGAAGGTGAATATTGCAGAAAATACTGATCTTGTTATGTTATGTGTTCATTGGATTTCTTCCTGGGTTTTGGGGTTCCTGGGGATCTCTGTAGATACGTGCAATCACCTGAAAGTGCAGACACTTAGAGCAGGTATATTTTGTTTGAAAAAAAAAAATACACATAGACTTTATGTGTAAAAATATGTATTTTTCCAGCAAGTTTTGTAGAATAAAACCATGCATTCCCCTTATACCAAGTCAAACACATTGTGGATATAAATGGTCCATTATTTCCTAACTTGCAATGTTCTGTCAACACATCGGACCTATTTACCTAAACTCCTCTTTGCCTTATAGCTCTTTCCCGCATCCTTTTTCCACTCAGTAGAAGATTTGTGTTGTGGATAGAGCTCTTACCTGTGTGTACTTGAGCTTAATGCATTGTGCACAATGATAATATGTTCTAATACATACACATTTATGAAAAATATGTTTTCTTCACCTTTTGTACCGGTATTTATCATTGTTTATTTATGGATACAAAATGCATTTGTAGTGTCCTATGCTCCCTTTAAAAGTTTGCTCTGTTTTTGTGTTTTTTTTTTAATACAGGACAAGGACTTTCGGCTCAGGGTCATTTTGCCTGCGGATCTTCAGCTACGAAATGCAAGGTTTGCCACTCTGTGTTTTTACAAGTGTAGTATTTGTTTCCTTTTAAAATAGTTCTGATTATAGCAACCGATCAAAAAATTGCACATAAAAAATGGAATGAGAAGGTTATCTAGTAAAATGTCATTAGGGACCATTTTATAAATGTTTTGCTGGGTGGATGCAGTATGCACAGCATTCGCACCCCTAGATGGAGCTCAAGAGCATAGGAAATAGCAAATAAATATTGAACATTTAGGCCTTATTCACACCGAAACCGTGTGCGTTACAGAGCGGTAGCTGCTGGAACGCACCGCAATTCGCTAAGAAAGTTCTCCCCGCGTTCTGGGGCAAGAGGGGGCATGGCGGTGCATTGAATTCAATGGCATCGCTTCCACGCCCCGCGCCTGCAATGCGATCGGACACGTGGCAAGACTTTGCCAGAGTTGCGTTCCACTGCAAACGCAAAAAATAGGGCTTGCTCTATTTTTTGCGTTTGCAGTAGAACGCAACGCTGGCAAAGTTTTGCCACGCGTTCGATCACACTGCTGGGGGGGGGCGTGGAAGCGGTTCCATTGAATTCAATGCACCCCCCCCCCCAGAACGCGGGGGGGGGGGAGTTTCTTAGCGATCGCGGTGCGTTCCAGCTGCTACCGCTCTGGAACGCACACGGTTTCGATGTGAATAAGCCCTTATAAATCAGCCCCATGCGTTATAAATGGGGTTGAAATACCTAATTCATGTTGAATTGAGCCTCACATCTTTTGAGGACAAGACACAGCAGTGCTTAGTACCTTGTCAAGCATTAACCTGACTTCATATGCTGTGGAATAAGTAGGAATCATCTCCCCTCTTCATATAAGAAACTTTTAGGTAATTCTTACACTAAACATTTATCAAATGACTAATGTTCATACAAACCCATAAACATGATGTCCTTCTTTACATCAAGGTAAAACATATCTAAACCCAGATACAAAAAAATAACACATTGCATCTTATCAGCCTTTAGGAGTGGTGGTTGCATTAGCTTTTCTCAGGCTTTCTTTCCTTTATTTTGACCTGATGGCCCTGCCAGGAGCCAATTCTAGTCCTAGGGTGACAACACTCACCTACTGTGCTGCATATTTGGAGGAATAGCCGTGTCATCCTAAGTAAAGGGGTGTTTAAAGACTAGAGAAAATGCAGGGTGTTACCTCGCACACCTCTTACACATAATATATAGAGCATATACAGTATGAGTATGTGGGTGCTATAACTACTGTATGTTTGGGAGCCAACCAACCTCCCCAAGTGAAATAACAGCTTAGTAGAATATTACGTTAGCACACCAACCACAATTCTGATGCAAAATATTTTGATTTATTGTAGAAATATAATAAAGGCGCACAAAATATAGTAGGTAATATTTATAACTACAAAGGCATAAAATTGCAAAATCGAAAGCTTCCAGATATAAATCAGTACTTCTCAAATCCTGTAAATATTATATATAGCAGACCAAAAGGGAGCAAATAAGAGAAGCTGATTGTTAGGGTTTACCTACCATATGGAGATGGTGCTAAGGGTTTCTATTTTATTACTGACTAGTTTTTATTTTTTACTGTATAACAAAAAAAGTACTGACCGTTTTGAAAAAAAAACTGTTTCCCTATGTTATGGTATGAAACATTTATTATCACCCCAATGCTTTGGTAAAATATAAAAGACTGGGTCACGTCGGGTAAATAGACACCAAACATGTCAAGCCCTAAAATTGTGCATGCCCGCAAAATGGCAAAAAAATGAAAACACCCAAAATTGGCCATAGGCGACGCTTTAAAAGCTTTAACTGCTCATCCGTTTAGTGTTATCAGTGATTGATGGCCCTAGAATTATTGCTCTCACTCCGACGTTCGTGGTGATATGTAACATGGCACAATCGTCATTTTCGCTCAACTTTATAGCTATCACATAGGGGAATAAGAAGCCCCCTATGTGATAGCCAATGTACGTGACAGGTCCTCTTTATGGAGACATCATGGGTCTAATTTCACCTAAGGACCCCCTGAGAAGCTGATGAAGCAGAGATCTGCTTCACCAGCTTCTCCGGCTTCTGTAGCCAGGAATGACAGCTGAATAGGGAAGAGATGTAATATGCGTCACTTCTAGCATTCTGACACCGGAGAGGAGATCGGAGGAAGATCGTGTACTGAGCTCCGGTGACAGAGCCGCCGTGCCGTCCCGGCCCACACCGGGCACAGAGGATTTCGGGACAGACGGTAGGAACACACACCTGCACGAAATACAAGTGATCCAGCTGCTATATAGCCGCCGGAACGCTTGTATTTAAACAGCCATCTCGGCTGTTTACATTTTAGGTCGTTTTCCCACTCGTGTGTGCGCTGGACGGGAGGTGGTTAATGAGGCAGAATTGGCTGAGTATGTGGATTTGGAAGATGTAGGGGTTCAAGGGAAGGGCTAGATTTTGCGAAAAGCATAGATTTGGACAGGCTGCAACCAAAACAACAATTTACTTAGCCTTTAAGGCAGCACTTAAACTATATCTGAAGCCACACTTTTTTTTATTTTGGATAGAGTAGGGAATGGTAAAAACTAGGGATGCACCGATATATCGGCCGAAAATTGTACTTTTGGCTTCCTGGCGATGCATCGGCGCATCCATGCTTTCTTTCCTCCCCATGGGGGAGGAGAGAAACTGTGACAGCTGGCCGAGCGCTGTGAGCGGCCGCGTCTCTCCTCCCACACCGCTCAGCCTCCTATCACAGTCCAGGAGAGCGGTGTGTGCGCGGGAACAGCCCGTGCTGTCACAGGAGGCGGAGCACTCCTCCCTGCACCACTCGCTTAGCCTCCGGTGACAGCGTTTCAGAGAGGAGAGCGAGATACAAACACTCAGTGATCGCTAAATTTGTTTGTAGATAATTGAGGACAGAGTATGGTTACTATATCCGCAATTATGAATGAATGGGAGTGATCTACATCACCTCCTGTTCATTCATAGTTGTGGTTATAGTAAACATACTATGTCCTCATGTTATAAATGAACAGGAACACTCATAGAGGATTCCTGTTCATTGATAACAGGGGATACAGAAAAAGAGATTGAGGACTCTGTGTCCTCAATCTCTTTTTCTATATTAAAAGACCCCTAATATTTCCCCAAAGCCCCTAAGAGTAAAGTTAAAAAAATATTTAATAAAAAATGAATTACTAAATAAAAATAAATATAAAAAGTTAAAAAGTTTATAAAGAATAAATAAAAATACAATATTTTAAAAACTTGAAAAAAATAAACATTTTCGGTTTCGGCCTGACAATTTTTTAAATTTCGGTTTTGTTTCAGTTTTAAAATTTCCATTTTCGGTGCACATCTAGTAAAAACCCTTGTCAGTTTTCTTAATTTCCCGGGGTAGTGGGAACGGAAATAAAATCCCTTCAAGTATGAGAAATCCCCTCTTAGTCCTATTCTGGAGACAACGCAAAACATTGGATTTCCCATTATAGATGAAAAGGGTCACCAGGGCTAGTAGAGAGAGATAATCTGCCCACTGAGGTCATGGACACCAATAAAAAAAACTTTGATATAGGTTTTTACTCTTCCCCATACTATGCAACCCCCTTAAATTGCCAGATCTGGGTCAGAGCTTACACAAGGCTAGGGAACCTTTCCACGTCTCTTTGTGACAACGCTTGGGCCTGGTGATAGGGACCTTTGGCATAAAGCAATACATTATGGAAGACATGGCGTAAGGCTCCTATGGATTAACATGGCAGAAAGAGTGGAATAAATGCCAGCGATCAGGCAAACCTGTCACTTTGCTTTGAATGGGCAGCGATCAGACATACCTGTTACTTTCGCTTTGAATGGGCAGCGATCAGACAAACCTGTTACTTTGCTTTGGATGGGCAGCGATCAGACATACCTGTTACTTTGCTTTGGATGGGCAGCGATCAGACATACCTGTTACTTTGCTTTGGATGGGCAGCGATCAGACATACCTGTTACTTTGCTTTGGATGGGCAGCGATCAGACATACCTGTTACTTTGCTTTGAATGGGCAGCGATCAGACATAACTTTTACTTTGTTTTTGATGGGCGGGGATCAGACATACCTGTTACTTTGCTTTGGATGGGCAGCGATCAGACATAACTGGTACTTTGCTTTGAATGGGCAGCGATCAGACATGAATTGTATGAATTCCCTAATCAATGTGCCTTTTACATTATATCATCTTGATATATCAGTCCCGGGATGGGCAGGCAATGGGCTATAGTGGTAGCACGGCTATAAAAAGTGAGGCAGTTTTGCCACTTTCAGTACCACGCCACTAATGCTACTAGTTCTGCATTGACAGCAAAGTACTGAAAGAAACTCAGTTGGCACTTTATGTATTAATGGATGCTATGGACAGAATGGTTGAGGGATCCTTTAACCAGTTGACATCCGCGGCGTTAAACCCCCTTCCCATCCAGGCCATTTTTCAGTATTCAGCGCTGCGGTACTTTGACTGACATTTATTCCGTCATGCAGCGCTGTACTGAAATGAATTTTTTCCACGTCTCTTTGTGACAACGCTTGGGCCTGGTGATAGGGACCTTTGGCATAAAGCAATACATTATGGAAGACATGGCGTAAGGCTCCTATGGATTAACATGGCAGAAAGAGTGGAATAAATGCCAGCGATCAGGCAAACCTGTCACTTTGCTTTGAATGGGCAGCGATCAGACATACCTGTTACTTTCGCTTTGAATGGGCAGCGATCAGACAAACCTGTTACTTTGCTTTGAATGGGCAGCGATCAGACATACCTGTTACTTTGCTTTGGATGGGCAGCGATCAGACATACCTGTTACTTTGCTTTGGATGGGCAGCGATCAGACATACCTGTTACTTTGCTTTGAATGGGCAGCGATCAGACATGAATTGTATGAATTCCCTAATCAATGTGCCTTTTACATTATATCATCTTGATATATCAGTCCCGGGATGGGCAGGCAATGGGCTATAGTGGTAGCACGGCTATAAAAAGTGAGGCAGTTTTGCCACTTTCAGTACCACGCCACTAATGCTACTAGTTCTGCATTGACAGCAAAGTACTGAAAGAAACTCAGTTGGCACTTTATGTATTAATGGATGCTATGGACAGAATGGTTGAGGGATCCTTTAACCAGTTGACATCCGCGGCGTTAAACCCCCTTCCCATCCAGGCCATTTTTCAGTATTCAGCGCTGCGGTACTTTGACTGACATTTATTCCGTCATGCAGCGCTGTACTGAAATGAATTTTATACCCTTTTTTGGGGACAGATAGAGCTTTCTTTTGGTGGTATTTATTCACCACTGGGGTTTTAGTTTTTTACTATATTAAGGAAAAATTACCGAAATGTTTTAAATAAAACAGTTTCCCCTATATTAAATGATAAAACATTTATTATTACCCAATTGTTTGGTAAAATATAAAATACGGGGTCACGTCGGGTAAAAAGACACCAAACATGTCAAGCCTAAAATTGCGTGCGCGCGCCAAACCTCAAAAAACGATAATACCCAAAATTGGCCATAGGCGACGCTTTAAAAGCTGTTACCGCTCATCAGTTTAGTGTTTTCTTTTCTGCCCGTGCGTGTCCGCTAGGGGGCGCGCGCGAGCAGAAAAAAAATGCCGTCTGGAGACGGCAACCCGCCAATGCAGCAGTGCTGTCCGTCCGTTTTTTTTACAAAGGGCGGACGGCAAGTGGTTAAAGATCTATGGAGGCTTTTGCAGCTGAATTTTGGCCAAATCTAGCAGTTGCTTTCATGGCAACATTTTTGAATACTTCACTTGTATATTAAAACTGCTACCTAAATTAAAGCACACCCTAAAGAACAGATACCTACTTATTTGTTTTTTGGTGTTATACATAGGAATAAACTTTCTAGCAGATGTTTCAGCAAAAGCTTTTATTATGTCAGCAGGAGCCAAAGGTCTTTCACATACAGCTTGTAAAGCATTGTGGCTAAGAGCCCAGAGTAGTGAAATAGGCTCTACAATTATAGCACTTTCTTTTGAAGGGAACCAAGTATTTGTATCTGGTTTAATGGAAATAATGGGAAAAGTTTCTTAAGATTTTTTTGCTATGAGAAACTCAGGTCCAAAAGAATGCCTGTGGTCATAAAAACGAAATAATAGCCAATCTACACATTTGTTGATATAAACACGTGCATTTTAAAGTGACTTTGTATTTTTAAGAACAAAAAAATCTGCGGACAGGTATAAAATGCAGACACCTAGAGGTGCACCTACCTGCAGCAGCTTTCAGTGCTTCCACTGTGCCAAAATATCAGGCTTTTCTGCGTGGACAAAGCTTTGGCACTCCCTGGTAGTATCAAAGCTTTCCTGATCCAGCCTCCCACACATTCCTATAGGTCAGTGGTGGCGAACCTTGGCACTCCAGCTGTTTTGGAACTACAAGTCCCATGAGGCATTGCAAGGCTCCGACAGCCACGACATAACTCCCAGAGGCAGATGCATGTTGGGATTTGTAGTTTTGGCACAGCTGGAGTACCAAGGTTCGCCACCACTGCTATAGGTCATATTGGCAGTCCATCATAGTGTTTAAACTTTCTGATGTCTAATGAGCTTCTCTGAAATCTGTGCCATTGTTTTGTTTTTGCTAAAAATGATCTTCGAACTATAAGAAAGATAGTAAGCAGAACTTGAATTGCTTCACTGGAGTGAAGATGACAATATCAAGGTGCTGAGGACTTATTTGTACAGAAGTAAGAATAGGCATTTGCTTCATTTTATTGTCAGTTCAAGTCTGACAACACACACCAAATGCATGCTGAAGACACCTTAAACACGTTCAGGAAGCTTTTGCTTTTAATTATTTTTTTCCCAAAAAAATGTAATGATGCGTTCTAAAAACACACGTTTTTTGTTTTTTTTTAACCCGTGTGAATGTTACCTAATGTCAACAAACACAATCGCCAGATGAATTGTACAAGTAATTTTCTCAAGTTGTAAAGTCATTGCCTAGAGTTCTCTGGCAACGTTATTGATACCTTGTAAAACCATAACCGTGTATGTGTTCTTAGCCCCTTCCTGGCCGATGACAGGCTTACACCGTCACGATCGTTAAAGGAGAACTATGACATGAGTGATTTCCACTCATTTCATAGTTCTAAGCCGACCTGTGACAATGAGACTGTCACAGGTCGGCTCAGTAGATCGGGAGGTGAGGGAACACATACCGGGTTCCCTCACCTCTCGATCCTGTCACGGCTCTCTGCCGTGACAGGGAGAGGGGCTGGATTCCCCTTTCCCCGCTCCGATCTGCCAGCGCTGACTGGCGGAACGGACGGGGGAGGGGGCGGGTACAGCTGGCTCTGCCTCTAGATAGGCAGAGCCAGCTGTCACTCACGCAGCTGGGCGGATCCCGTCATCTAAGTCGGGATCCGCTCCAGGTGCGGCGTCTCAGTATACCGCGAGCTGTAGCTCGTGGTATACTGAGCTTTGGGTGACGGGAGGACGCTAGTTGGTGTCCTCCCGTTACCCCAAGGAGAACTATGGGGAAAAACACTGACCCCATAGTTCTCCTTTAAGTTAGTTAATGACTGGTGATGTGATAATCCCGTCATGTAGTACAAAGTGCACTGGACCGTAGAGGGACCACCACTCATTGAGTTACTGCTGTTGATGGGTCCCTTGGGGTCTGAGGCAGACCCTCAACAGATTAGGTGGTCACAGCACTTTGATTACAGTGATAACTAAGAGCTGTAACAGCCACAAAGCTGGCAGCAGCTCACTGTGTTGTGCAGCTGTGAGCTGGCTCAGTGTGTTATAAACTGATACAAAGTATCTCTGAGGCGAATTTTGTATTCTCAGATATACTAAGTATCAGAGCCCCTGTAAAGAAAAAAAATAACCCCTTAGCGCCCCATGGTTTAAAAATACAAAATAATAAAATGTAAAAATACAAAACGTTTTTAAAAAGTAAAAAATGTTTAAAAAGTAAAAAAAAATACTTTTAATAAAAAAAAAGATGATGGAGCATGGAGTCAGCTTCCTGCCCAATCAGGAAGCTGGGGGGCGAGTCATTACCTCCCCCCCCCACTTCCTGATTGGCTGGGGAGCCAGCTCCGTGCTCCCTGGTGACGAGGGAGCTGGCTTCCTGACCAATCGGAAACCCAGGCAGTGTGTAATGACTCGCCCCCCAGGCTTCATGATGCTGGGAGTTCCGGTATCGGGATACCGGAACAAGTACTCGCCCAAATACTCGGTATCGGCACTGATACTAGTACCTGTATCGGTGCATCCCTAGCTGTTAGGCATGTTTTACAGCAGGTTAGGTTTACTTTAAGAATTGTAGTAGGACCTGATGAATTCAAAGAAAACCCCCAGATCTAGTGTTTTACCCCAATACACCGCCACAGTAAAAAATGCCCTGTCCAGCCTATTAGCCCATCATATTCAGTTCTGTTATCTACATTGCATTGGCCTGGCTCATGGATTCTAATTTAAATAGCAGCTAAATAAAAAAAATCCTTATTTGACTCGGGTATAAGCCGAGGGGGGCATTTTTCAGCACAAAAAATTTGCTGAAAAACTCGGCTTATACTCGAGTATATACGGTATTTCTTTTCTTTTTTTAAATACTGATCTTTTGTGGTATAAAGTGCACAACACACTGCAAAGTAGTAGCAATGGCAGTCGCCAAGTCTCTCGCAATGTCTTTTTGCTGTCTCAGCGTGTTCAGACTTCTGCAGTCTATGTTATTACCTTAGCTGGTTGTCTATGTCTACACTTTCTGGATTCTTGCGTTACAACTTCTGTCCTAAACATCTGTTGAGTTGATTTTTTTTCTTTGTTATTTTCACACAAGTAATTCTAGAAATGTGTTGGATATATATGCCTTACCAGGCAGTACAACAGGGGTGTGCAAATCCCATCGTGCATCTGCCTCTGGAAGTCATGCTTGTGGCTGTCAGAGACTTGCAGTGCTGCATGGGATTTGTAGTTGCACCACAGTTGGATGGCTGGAGTTTGCTCAACCCTACCGTAGAATGTGGAAGAGTGTTTTACTATTTTAACCTTTATTTGAATTCTCTTTAATAGATTGGAATGCAGTTGGCAGTTGAGAAAAGTTCTGCATGGATATCAACATATTGTTAAACAGGTAATTTAAATATGTTTTACTTTTGTTTTTTGCTTTCCACATGATCACTGTTGTGTCAACCGATGGTTGGATAAAGCAACTCCGATGTGGCAAATCACCGCACACCGATATCGGCATATACGAAGCCTGTTTATTAATAAGATGATCAGCACATATTCACCACCCGAATCCTTGACTCTTACATGTCTTACCCGTATGGAAGGCCTAAGGGCTAGCCATCACTTCGCATGTGCGGAATTGGCGACGCTTACATTGCCAACTAGAGCTGCAGCTAACGATTATTTTAAAAATCGATTAGTTAGCCGATTATTAAGTTCGATTAATCGGTTAATCGGATAAACAATAAAATACATTTTAAAAAATGGCTCCAGTGATGTAGTCCATCACAGGAGCATGAGGTGCGGCGCGCAGCGTGTGTGGAGCCGTGAACAGGGCCAACTGATTGGAAGCCGATTAATCGATTATTGAAAAAGTTGACAACTTTTTCAATAATCGATTATAATCGATTATGTCGATTAGTTGTTGCAGCCCTATTGCCAACCTAATTCTTACCGAAGCGAGAAATGAGGAAGTACTAAGTCATGATCAATAAAAATGGTGTTGATAAGAAAAATATAAAAATAATATTCAATCTTTACAACTGAGGGGGTTAATATTAAGATCAAGGAATGTTGAAAATGTGGTGGAGGGTCCGCTTTAAGTTCATGCTTGCTACTTTGTTCATTAGGAGAAGCTTTTGCATCACCAGTTTAATAGAGTTCATCAAGTGCAAATGGAAAGTTTTTTTGTTTTTTTGATGCAGGGGTAGGGTTTTTTATTTCTGCCCACTGAGAGTATTGTCATCCAAAACATGCGCCCAACAAAACACAGTTTTAGGCTGGGGTTAGGTTGCTAGCATATCCTTTGCGTCTCAACTGCCTTGTTTTTGTCAAGGATTAGGTTAGGGATGGGAGACTGATGCTTCGGAAAGAAAAACTTCATAAAGTACCTTTTGATTTTTATGAAGTTAAAAAAAGCATTTTGAATGGGCAGAAGAGAAAAGGGACTTGCCTCATCTAAGCCCATTAAGTCCATAAAGAAGTCCAGCTCTCCCACATATCTCTTGCCCTCATTTGCCCCTCAGCGTAGCCTCATGTATGGTCCAGATAAGTGAGTGAGTTTAGTGATGAGTTGTTGTCACAATGAAAGTGCTAATGTTTTTGTTGAAAAATTATAAACAAAGGGATTTCTTTTCTCAGAGATTACAGCACAGTTCAGATCTATCTAGCTTCATGGTGGAGCTCAAGTCTATATTGGTAAGTTTTTATTTAATGTGCTATTGGCTAAGGTTATTTGACCACTGATGCAAAACTATTTTGGACCGATTATAATATCTACAGATGTTACAACTAGGGATGCACCGAAATTCCAGCTGCCGAAACATATCGGCCAAAAATGGCACTGTAGGCAAAATGCCAAAAGTGCCATCTTTCGGCTGAAATAGCGGTGTATCCCTGCTTTCTCTCCTTCCTGCTGGGCGCTGCTCTGTGTCCCAGCGGGGAGGAGAGAAACTGTCCCAGGAGGCCGAGCTGTGCGAGGGAAGAGAGCGATGCGAGCGGCCAGCGTCTCTCCTCCCACACTGCTCAGTCTCCTGTGATAGATTATGAGAGCGGTGGTGTGTGGCGGAGACGCTGTCACAGGAGGCTGGGCCGGCAGTGGGGGATGAGTCATCTACCAGAGGAAAGTGAGCTCTCCTCCCCGCACCGCTCACTCAGCCTCCTGTGACAGCTGACGGGAAGGAGAGCGGATACAAGCACTCGGCGATCAGTAATTGCTGAGTGTTTGTAAATAATTGAGGACATCATATGTTTACTGTGTCCCCAATTATGAATGAATGGGAAGTGATCTACATAACTTCCTGTTCATACATGATTGTGGACACAGTAAACATACTATCTCCACAAGTTATGAATCAACAGGAACACTCAGTATAGAGTCTTCCTGTTCATTTATAACAGGGGATGCAGAATAAGAGATTGAGGACTCTGTGTTCTCAATTTTTTTCTATTTTAAAAGGGAAATATCAGGGTTACCCCCAATATTTCCCCACAGCCCCCAACAGTAAAGTAAAAAAATAAAAAGAAAAGATTTTGAAAAAGTTAGAAAAAAAAGCATTTTCTTTCTCGGTTTGTGCCTGGCATTTTAAAAAAAAATTTCGGGTTTGTTTCGATTTTGAAATGTTCATTTTGGTGCACCTCAAGTTACAGCCTTTCAAAACAGTTTCCCTGATATGTTTTATGTAATGTCATAACAATGCTAAACATTTATTTGATACACACTCAAGGTTATAGGAGAACTATGAGGTGAGTGCTTTTCAGTCACCTCATAGTTCTAGCCGACCTGCGACAATGAGACTGTCGCAGGTCGGCTTAGTAGATCGGGAGGTGAGCGAACACATACCGGCGTTCGCTCACCTCTTGATCCTGTCACGGCTCTCTGCCGTGATAGGGGAGGGACTGGATCCCCCCCTGCTCCGATCCACCAGCGCTGACTGGCGGAATGGACGGGGGAGTGGGCGGGTACAGCTGGATAGGCAGAGCCAGCTGTCAGTCACGCAGCTGGGCGGATCCATACATGATTGTCGGGATCCGCTTCAGCTGCGGCGTCTCAGTATACCGCGAGCTACAGGGTGACGGGAGGATGCTAGTTTGTGTCCTCCCGTTACCCTAAGGAGAACTATGGGGAAAAGCCTTAACCCCATATTTCTCCTTTAAGTACTACAATGGTGAACACCCACCCTTTAGTTCTAATGGCTGTTCTTTCAAAAACAAAAAAACACATCACTTACAGCTATACTAATCTGTACAAACACATTCTTGACATCTCCTAATGTACAGCAACAGGATAGTAGAACTGTTTTTTTTTTATCATCATAGTCAATTGACTATGTTTTACAAGATCTGCCTGAGAAGATCTTCCTAGGGGAATGGTCTTATCTAAATCTTCTACAGGCAAAGTCCTCCAAGGCTGTTTATTATATGTAAGGGAAGTATCACTGATTTTACTTTATAGCTTTCTACATACTGTATATCTTTGTGTGAAGGTTTGCTAAGGAAAGACGGGGATTAGGTTAAGCTGCTAGCATCTAAAATAAAAAGTAGAGGTGCACTGAAATGGAATTTTTAAAACCGAAATAAAAAAAATGTCAGGCCGAAACCGATACCGAAAATGTTTTTTATTCTTATTTTTTCAATTTTTTTTATTTTTTTTTATATTTATTTTT